CATTATTTTGGAAAAAAAAATTATGTTAGTGCAGAATAAAAATAGATAGAAGGATATTTAAATTTTCTTTAAAACAAACTCATGTGAAATACATATAGACTAAAAAGCAAATAAAATACTAATGATGTACAAATGAAATCATAAGTTTTTAAGAATCAAACAAAAAAATCAACTATTTGAGGTTGATGAGGTCATCATAATGATTACATTGAAATATCATTGTAATTGTCAGATTGTTAACAAATAATTCCAAAATAGGCAAAAAGACATTAATTATGACTCAAGATTTAAGTTAAAAATTATATTTGAAAAATATCAACCTGCACTTCAAAAACATGAAATTGCTAAATGAAAAGGTTTTTGAAAGAAATCTTCCCATTAAGAGTGATAGACCTATGAATCCATCATCCCCAAAACAAATACAACATGCCAAAATACTTTAATCAAAGGCAAAGGAATGAAATGATTGATTTTTTTTTAAAGTCGTTATAATTTAACTTCATTTGTGATTAAGTTATGATTATTTTTTTCTAAACAATAAAGCCTAAAAGAGTTACAGTTATATTTGAACTTTGGTAATTACTCGATGGATGCCTAGTCATCCTCCGTATGTGGTACGGGAAATCATTATTAAACTCATTGTATTCTGACCTCATATACGATTAAGCTCTAATTCTTTTTTTGAACAATAAAGCCCAAAAAACTTGCACCGGTATTCGACTTTAAGAAATTGCTCGGTTATCAAGTTCATTTCTTTCTGGTGGCATTGCTAAGATGGAGTCTGTATAGATAAGATACATGTTTAGTAAGCGTTTGTGGAGTTAAATATGAAAATAATACTAGCTTGTACCCCCAAAACTTGCTTTTGAAATCAATGATTTTGTCTTCTTCATTACTGGCTTATGTTGTAGGGTATAAAAGTGGAAAATCTTTGTAATTGTTGTATTTTTCTATCATGTAGAATGACCCACCACTCCCTAACAAGGAGTAACCGTGTACATTTCCAAAATCGTATATAATTACAAGTATTTTGAGCTTTATTGTTAAAAAAGAGTTGCAACTTAATCATAAATAAAGTTAGAATATATGGACTTTAATGAAGATTTCATTTGCCACATAAAGAAAGATGATCGGGTCTCCACCAAATAATAGGATAATTACCCAAATTTGGATATAATTACAAGTTTTTTTGGGTTTATTGTCCAAAAAAACACAATCGCACTAGCGGCCATTAGTTTCATGTTTTACGGGTAATTAACAATGTGACTAAGCTATAGTGGTTTGAAGTGCATAACTTCACACAACATCTCCAAAATTCAATTCAGAGGCATACCAAAATATTACCTCCAATTCACCTTTATTGAACATAGGTTTTCCTTTTATTGAATTAAATAGAACTATTCCTTTTAATTATCAGACCAAAATTCCCTCATTATAGTGAATCACATTTTATTTTTACCAACGAGACATACGACAATCATGATTCTTTCATATTCCAATTCATGTATTCTTTTGACAGATTTCATTCATTCTACAAACCATACACCCCTTGACAACTTAGCATTAGGGGACCAACATTTTGAGCCCATAGGCCACAACCAATTAAGGAAAGGACAATCTAATTACCCTACACCTCGGTTCCTTTCAAGCTTTGGCTTATCAATTATCATTCATTCATGTCACAACACAACCACTATGCACCCGACATTTAGTCTCAAAATATACATAAAAACATCAATTTCTTAACGACACTATGGACCCTTTTACAATAACTAACACAATAAACCACATTGTGATCCTAGCCTCCTAATTCTAAACCAATTCATTTTGTCCTAATAATATTCTTGTTTCATTTTTTGGAATAATAAACTTTACAAATCTTGGATTCCAATTATGTGAAATGTGGGGGGAAGTGATAAAAAGGAAATGGACCTACAACATGCTTATGTGTTTTCATGGTGAATGTGGCGATGTGATCGTTGTATCAGAAATAAACATGGAATTTTTACAACAAAAATAAATAAATAAATGAAATAAGAGACAGCATAGGACTATTTTTTGAAGAACATGCGCATGGACAGAGAAAGTGCTTAGAAACTTTTAATTCTGACCGTTGGATTGGATTGGATCGGATCATAGGATTGTTCTAGTGATCTTAGGTACAATTATTTACTGCACATTGGGGACATTTTTGTAACAATGATCAAGTCTTGTTTTTTGTACTATAAAGAATATTTTAGAAACTTTTTTTTTGTTTGTTTGATAAAGGCAAAGGGTAAAAGTGAAAAATAAAGGAAAATCATCTATCTTTTTTCGTGATTAAGAATCGAGCTAATTCAAGATTCGAGAAACAAGAATATTACGGTTGGTTCGTGTTTCTTGATTTCCGTTTTCATTTTTTAAGTTAAATAAATATTTAAAGAGAAGAAAAATCATTTTATTTTATTTTTGTTCTAAAACAAGATCCGGTAAGAACTAAAAAAATGTCATTTTCAATTCTAAATCAAGTTAAATGGGTTGATCCATTTACTCATTTCAACATTTTGGATAGGATTAGCTAGTTGGGTCGATTCTTATTGGCTCAAAAAAATGTTTAAAATAAATAAATACAAAACGGAAAAAAGGATTTTTTTTTTTTTTTTAAGTAAAACTTTTATGTTTTCGAGTTTAAATCAAAAGTCCTACAAGTTTCCCAAAACAAATTTTAGTAGAAAATTTTTGGTATTTTTCCCCAAAGAAAAATCTCATAAAGTTCAAAAAAAATATCTTTTTTTGTGATAGGTCAGGAAAATAAAGTCTGAAAGTCTGATGAGAGAGCTCAAAAATAAGCTTTGTTTTTCCGCTATATGTTTCCAAAAATACCTCAAGTAATGATTAATGAATTAAATATTAAATAAAATAAAATAAAAGAGCCTTACAGAATAAATAAAGCAATATACAAGCACCTGAGCTTTAAAATTTTAACCTTTTTCTCTGCGTCTAATTTGTACTGAAGTGGGGCCCACAGATTTTCTAATGCTGACCTGTCATCTTCATCTCTCCAATTTTTTTTTTTAAATAAATTTCCTGCACATCTCTTTCAAAACTGTCAGTCTAAATTAACCTCTGAATCCCTCTGCCCATGTTATATCTAACATCAATCATGAATCAACATTGAGTTATTAAAATCACACAGAAAAAGTAGATTTATTTTCTTCTATTATATATATATATATATATATATATATATATATATATATATATATATATATATATATATATATATATATATATATATATATATATATATATATTTGGTCAAAATTTCCAGATGTGGTCCTCTTTTGCTGCAACCCAATAAAGTATAAGAAATGAAACTCATAATGATTCATTCACATTTCAAGATTTGATCAAATTTGACTAATGAATGAATGTATTCACATTTCAGGATTCTGACCAAGTTTGACCAAAATCAGTATTCAGTACTCCACTTTAAAACAGACCCCTACATCTCTTGGATGCAAACGACACCAGTTTCATCATATTTCCGAAATTACCCTTTTCACATTAAGAGCCACAACAAGAAAATTCAGTATTAGAACACAAGTAAAGACTTCATTTCGTTAAAAAAAACTTCTCACTTATAAGACTTAAAAAGTTAGAAATGTCTTTAATGCCCTTACCCAATATTACCATGTTAAAAATGTGCCAGAAATTAAATAACAATAAAATTTTGTGAAAATAGGTAGTGAGGTTAATGGAACCCTATTTATGTGGGGAACATGTAGATTAAATTAAAGAAGCTTTATTCATGTATGTAGGGCACAATGGTAAAAAATTTAAATGGTGTATGTGTATGTATAATAAATAAGGTTTTGAATATTCACTTCTGAAAATAAACATGTATCTTGAATCTGAATGAATGAAGTGTGAAATATGAGTCACATTAATGGCATAGAGTGGCATAACTGAAATAAAAATAGCATTATTGTATAAAATAAATTAATAAAAAGAGAATGAATGTGCAAAAGATAATAGAGGATAAGAAAAGGCCATCATATCAACTCCTATAAGTGGCAATCATATAGAATAAAATTTACTGTTATCATTATATAATTTTATAGACAAAGTACCTAAATACATGCTATTAAAAAGCCTATATTGATGAAAGAGTGATATCTAAATAAATAAAGTAATAAAGAAACATCTTATATTTATTGTAGTTGCACACAAGGTAGCTGCTAATCATCAATGTCTACATATAAACTTCTAAAGAGAAAATAATTTAGTAAAAAATGTGTGACACATCAACATGTAATTGGGCCATATTCTATAACTCAATCATTTACAGCTCAAAAGGCTAACAATTCTACATGGTGCATTCATATCAATATCATGGGAAGATCAAATAATGCAGAATGGCATCCACTAAGTAGACTACAATGATAGGCCTTGAGAACCCATACTGCAAATGATTGCTAATTTATAATTGAAATATATTCAAGTACTTGTCTGCAGTTGGTTATTGGTATAATGGTTTATTATAGAAATATGTCTGGCTTGAGTTGATAATTGATCAATAGCTGCTCAAAGTATTTACTGATAGATAGTTTCACTATTACTGATGTGTAAGATTCCACTTTGATTCCTCACTAAAGATCATACACCATCTACTGCATCAATTCCTGAATGCAATAAGCAAATCTTTGAAAGAATGGAGATGGTTTAGTTCATCTGAGGATAGAGTTTTTTAAAAAATGCAGTTTCCAAACATACACATTGAGCTAGTGAATGTGTAAATTTATCATCAGTATAAGAGATAGCAAGCTCAACAGAACCTGAAGACGTTGTTATCATCATGAAAGATTCAACAAATCACTCAACCAATCCAAATTAGTTCTAACTACGAATACTATACAACAATGAGATCTCTACAGATTTGTGATGAAAATGTAGCAAATACGATTCCAATGAATTCTCGTATGAATTGTACACCATAAAAAACAGAACAGAAATTAGATTTACCACGACAATTTCCTGGAAAGGATCGAGCTAACAAACTCACAATTCAGGAAGTGAAAGACGAATGACGCATTAAGAACGCCCAATCCAGCTCCCGCAGCAACATCAAACACGAAATGCCGTCCAAGCAAAACCCTAGAAACCGACGTAGCAGTAGCCCAGGCTATTACAATCACGTTTAAACGCTTAACACTCTCAAATTCATCCAATCCTAACATACCAGACTTCAATTGAAGGAAAATACTTGGGATTAAATCAGAGGAAAGATAAAACAACGAAGCGGTGAAGCAAACTCTAGAAGCATGGCCGCTGGGGAAGGACCAGTGGTCGACGGCAAAGGTGAGGAACATGTGTTTGTTATAGACAGGGCGGGAGCGGCGAACGAGATGTTTGATGAGACCGATAAGAAGGAGATCGAGCAGAGATCCGATGAGAAGGTTAACAAGTAATGTCAGGAGTAGCGGAGAAGCGGATCGGAGAGGAGAGAGAAGGAGGGAGAGGAGGATAGGGAAGAAGAGACGGCCGTCGCCGGAGATTTCAAGAAGTTTGAGGAAGGGACGAGGCAGGATGGGTTGAGTGAGGTTGTAGAGAGTGAGGGAAACAGCTGTATCGAAGTTGATTAGGTGGCGGAGGAGCGATGTTGACGGTGGTGGTGGCGGCCGCGATGGTTTCTCCATGGCGGATTACTCCGATCGACCGTCTAGACAACAGTTGTTGTGTCAGTTGCGGTTGCCGGCGGAAATTGGATTTTACATATTTTAGCATAAACTACATTGGGCTTTAAATTTGTAGGCCATGAGTTTTTTAAGCCCATTAATCTCTACCTTAATCAAAATATTTTTTTAAAAATAAAAATAAATAAATAAATAAAGTCCATGTAGTTTGTTTAGTCCTATGATCTAAAAACATCATAGTCTATTTGTTTTCATAACGTTTGACTTATTGTTAACTCCGTTAAGTTTTGTCCATTAATTTAAAGGCATTTTCATTATTTCACTACCTTAGGAACCATTTATGATATTTTCTCTTATTTAAAAATAATAATAATAATAATAATAATAATATGCAAAGGGGTCTCTCTCTCTCTCTCTCTCTCTCTCTCTCTCTCTCTCTCTCTCTCTCTCTCTCTCTCTCTCTCTCTCTCTCTCTCGTCATCACCTAGACACCTCACCTCATTTACTTTCCCTTCCCCAATATCCACTTCTATTTCCATTTTAGATCTGCATGTGGCCATCTCTTTTTCTCTACCCCTTCTTTTTAACTTGCAATTAAAGGAAAAACACACAATCACACCCACAAAATTGCACTTGAAGGAAAAAAAAAACACTTCACACACACATTGGAGGCAACGAAGGCGACATATGTCATCAAGGAATCCCCATTTGAAACCTGCATTTGGATCTAAAGCTGATGTCGTAGTTTCATCAGAGTTTAATCGAAGATTTCACCACCTCCAGTCACTACACTATTTCTACTGCTCACCCTCATCCTAATCTGCATGAGACATGAGTCTCTTAGCGGTTAACCCAAGTGTCAATTTATAGCGCTTCCTCTGATACTTGAACCCATTGATGCACCTCACATACGCATTGGAGCCAAGTGGACTGAACCTAGGATGCAAATACAAGTGCCAAGAATAAGAATAAGAACCATAATAGCTTCCATAACTCTTTTATTTTTTGTAGATCTACAACTCGTTTCTTTTCTAGGGTTTTCTCAAAGTGAGGATGGATTATGGTGTTTAAAGCTTGTAAGGTTGTTTCTTTTGGTATGGTGTAATTTTGTGGTTGTTCTCATATTATGTCATTATAGCATCAATTTGGAACTGAAATCCTTGTTAATCATGTAGATTCTCTGAATTAAATCTAACATAAACTGTTCATTGAGTAAATTTGAGCAATTTGAATACTAAAATCAGTTATAACAAGAACTGAATTGCATGAGACTTTGGGAGGTCGTATATTCCTATCTGCTCCTCTGTTTCTCAAAATAATATTCTATAAAAATGTTTTGAAAACAGAACCAGGTTGATGAGGAGGAGTTACAGGTGAAATGAACTTCATGACTAAGCTACAAAGGTCCCTATGCTTCTCCTCGATCTGCAAGGTAAAAGCAAAAAACAGTTAAAAGTGGAATGAACTGATCTTCAAACGGGTTTGACAGAGAGAAAGAGAAAGAGAGAGAGAGAGAGAGAGACCCTTTGCATATTATTTCATTTTTTAAATAAGAGGAAACATCATAAATGGTCCATGTGGTAGTGAAATGACAAAAATACCCTTCAGTTAACGGACAAAACTTAACAGAGTTAGCAATAACGACAAAATTTAAAACCCAAAATTTCAATTTTATATTAATAAAATCATTATCCAAACTAACATCATAAAACCATAGAGAACTCAGAGTATGTCAATAAACATCCAAATACATCAGAGTTATATAAAATGCGGAACAATGTGGTGTGTGTAACGCAGTTATCTCGAGCTCTTCCTTTTTTGAAATCGATGTACCTAAAATATAAACTGAAAACCGTAAGCACGAATCTCAGTGAGTTCCCCAAAATACCATATACTAAACAAACATACTGCCAAGCATATATGTGTGCTTGCCTACCCCTTAGGTATATTTCAACCAGATACTATCAAACATATTTGGGTGCTTGCCTACCCTTTCAGTCTATTTCAACCGTATACTATCAAGCATATCTGGGTGCTTGACTACCCCTTTTGAAACACTCCAAAATATGAGGAAAAAATTTCATTTTTAATACAACCAAAACACCCATTTAGCATTACTAAATTACTTAAAGGTATTTCATATTAAAAAAAGTTATCAGAGTATAATCCCAAAATCTTAAGGTTACGGAAAATATAGGTATATGCATTGCGATCAATTCGGGCCCTTCCCTTTCAAACCGGAAGTACCTGAAACCATAAACAACAATTATAAGAACAAAGATTAGTGAGTTCACTAAAGACCATATACCATACATATCCTACGAGTCATACATATCATAAATATCCAACATTCAATAGAAGGTGCTATGTTCCACACGTAGTCTTGCCATTATGCCACGAGTCGTATCATGGTCTTCCTTGCTATTCCGGGGACCAAAACCATGGGTGTTACAGACAAGTGCCAGGAGTCACCTCATGTTCTTCCATACAAGCATCACAAAGACAACTAGCATACAATCTATAACTACTTATCTACTTAATTGTCATAGTCCAAACTCTGGTCTTGCATACAGAATTGCCAGGTGCCACCCACTGGTCTTTCATATAAATTCCAAGGGTTTCCCCATGGTCTTCTTACAATACATAAACCAATAGGGCCGACATTAGTGCCTTCGACCTATAGAGTAATGAGGTGACTCACCTCGCACTGCTAAATCACATTGATAATCTGTGATAGCTGGTACGCCTATCAATATCAAATAACACCCAATTAACAATTAGAATCAAATTTATACCCTTCAATCCATATTTAGGGTAAAAATACCATTTTACCTCTTACCTAGCTTGGTTCAAGACTAAGGAACAAACTTACAATACAAAAGGCCCAAACATAGCCCAAAATATCCCATGGTCAACCCTGAACAAACTTCTGGTCAAAGTCAATGTCAACAGTCTATGTTAACCAAACACGCTGTGTTACCCCCTTGGACACGCCATGTTCCTCCAATACCCAGTCAGTCGGGAAAAATCTCGGCCACACGCCATGTTTCCCCTTGAACACGTCTTGTTTGCCCGAGATTCAACAGCTTAATACATTAAGTTGTTTTCTCCGATTCCAAGAACTCTAAAGCTCAGATTAAGTCCATAACATGGTCTAGAAGGATAAAGTTTCCAACTTTATCCATTGGGACTACCCAAAAAGGTTCAAACTAAATCCATTAAGCTTAATAATGCAAGAGCTTAACCAACAAGAACTTAATCCTCCAAGTCCGAAGTTCATCCTTTCTAGAAGTAGTTTAAATACTAAAACCATCCCCAAAGTTGGTGATTTATAGACATACATGTCCTCTATTATGCGTGCGTATGTGTGGCGTACCTGGAACGTACGCCTAGCGTACGCTAGCCTTGACTACAACGGGAAGTTGACATTGATGGGTTTTATACAAACAATCCTAAGTGTGCATGCAACCCTAGTTTGGATCTATGTTTTCACTATTAGATACACAACATTATGAACACAAGAATAAAACCATAATGTGCATTGCTATTTTCGAAATTAACATACAAAGGTTGGTTTACATACCTTTTGTTGTTATATTGCAATAACAACTTAGATCTTCAAATCCTAAGTCTTGAAAGCAAGCACCACAAGCGTAGTGCCTCTAATGGCTCACAAACAGCACAAGCAATTGGAGAGGCTTAAGATAGAGGAGGGAGGAGTTGGAATTCGTCCTTGGGACCTCTTAGGAGCATGTACACGAATTCACAAGGCCTAGGGGTCTTTATATAGGGTTTAGATTAGGGTTTAAGTCCTTATCCTTATCCAGTTACTTGCCCACCAAGCAACCACAAGATAAGCCTTGAAAAACCCTTATCCTCTTATCCTTGGACGATTTTAAGGATATCCTTATCCTTAAATTCGTTCATCCTTTAACAAGGATAAATATTACCCTATCTTGCAACTATCTTATAATTACAATTTAGCCCCTCTAGTTTAATTAATTACACTTGATCACAAAATTAATTCCTAATTAATTATTGACCAATATTAATTAAACAAATATGATTTTCCTTTAATATATTATTCTTATAACATATTAATAAATCACAATAACCTCTCTCTCTATTTAATTTCTCCAGTCAAGTTGCTTTGGTGAAGGCAACCCAAAAGGACCATGCACAACCGGGTCAAGTACTTACCAAATATGGTTACGGGCTTAGACACTAATCCAACAGTCTCCCACTTGGATAAGTCTAGTAACCACAAATGTAACGTGCAACCCGATTAGCAATCGTAGCTCTCAAAGACGCTGTCAAACTTTGATCTTATCAGTAACCTGTCCTATAGATAAGGGATCGTACAGTCCTCTGTTAGATATCATGCTGACAATTCTATGGAATGATTAGTCAAGCATTTAGGTTTCTCGATCTCCGATTTATTTGACATAGAACTTAATCGAACACATCAATTTAGTTCTGACCGGGCCCGGCACATAAGTCAAATCAAATCATCGAGCAGCCGAGATATCTCTTCTTAGGATAAAATTTACAGATAAACTTCGACTTATATGCATTTACTTATTCAATAATCAACTATACACAACAATGCGTTTTATAACATTGAGTTACCAATGCGTTTTCGCATTATCAATGTACAATCAATTAGCAAATAATAAACCATATATCTAGGTTTTAAGACTATATGATATTATCGTCTTACGATCACCTCTTATATATCCTATTCCATACGGTGATTCCAGCAAGCGCGGGTTTGTTCCAATGCTCAAATCCAGTTCATAAGCACTCATGAACGTCGCAACAATCTTTTGCTATGTCTAATACCATTTAGACAATCTACGCACCAATTCACGACAATCTTCATTCATATCTACTTCCAACATATGAACGATTGTGGACAATTTGAATAATTCGATTATTCCTAATAAACTCAATTATTCTGGAAGTCAAAACATGCAAAGTGAAACAATAGTTAAACAATTAAC